AAGTAAGATTACACATAGACATATGTTTACAGTAAGACTCATAGTTTCATGGGTTTGCCAATCATCAGGTACAAAATGTTACGAACTGTTCAATACGATTGCTATCTTTTAATTTCAGGATCTCATGGGAGAATAGTATTGGGTTATATATCTAAAATATAGAGTGTTGGTAGGTAGATATAGAAAAATAATCTAATATTAATAGTAATTTTAATAGGGATATTGATAAGATAATGGATAATACGAACTAAAATGGTGGTAGATACCAACTAAAAAGCGTGGGTAGGCAAAAAAAACATAAGCTAAAGAAATGAATATATATATATATATATATATATATATATATATATATATATATATATATATATATAAAACGCTCAAATTCTAATATTCCATGACAAGAATGTATTCACGATCCAATACATCAGACCTCCAAATTCAAAAAGAAATCGGAAAATATCTTCTTACTGTCCTGAACCTTGAGCTCTACATGGATTGTATCTTTTTGGAAATATATATATATATATATATATATATATATATATATATATTGACAACTAATATTATATACATTGACAATATCAGTAGTCAATAAATATATATATATATATATATATATGAATCATTCATACAAAAAACAGATTAGTGAAGTTAATGATATAAATGGCGAGAATACATCTTCACAAACAAATTTATTAAACTTACAACCCACGAACCTCTAGATGTTTCCAGGTAGAGCTCATTGTCCAATACAGAGCAATAATATAATATAACAGACTCAAATACTAATATTCCATGTTTATAATTTATTACTATTGGAATCGGAAAATATAGCACCGGGTACAAAATACAATATATATATATATATATATATATATATATATATATATATATAAAAGATATATATATATTAAAAAGAAGAGAAGAGAGGTGCCGCAAACGTTTTTGGTTGTAATGTGGATTGATTTAGAAAAAAATATTATGCTTTGTTTTACATGTAACTGTCTTGGTTAGCCCTAAGTTCTGACATGAATCTGATAGAGCACGTTTGGGATCACCTTGACCGTAAACTTCGAGACCGTGCAACGAAAATCCCGTCAGTGGCAACCCTTAAAGAAACATTGCTAAAGGAGTTGAAAATATGGATCAGATGATTGTTAATAACTTGATCAAATCCATGAAAAATCGAATACAAGCACTGAAACTAGCAAATGGAGGACCTACTCTATACTAGTTCCAAATACTGTTTAATAGAGCTGGAAATATGTAATTAAATTTTGAAATTGGATGTAGTTTATTTCTCCTGGCTAAAAGCTTTTCTTCAGCCACTGTAGAATTGGACATTTAATCCAGTTGCTGGCAGTAAACTTAAGACTTTGGACGCTTACAGTACCAGGTGTTCCCAAGCGGTCCCCCATCTAAGTACTGACCTGGCTCTACGATGCTTAACTTCGGTGATCGAACAAGAACCGGTGTTTTCAGCGTGATTTGACCGCAAGCAAAGTCCAACCTCCAAAGTCCAACCCTTAACTCACAGTTGGTGCGGGGGTGTAAACGGTAGTGTCAGAGCTATGCCGCCCGGAACTTCGTTCCTGGTAGGTCCACCCAAGGCGGACAGGTCTTGACACACACGACGGCTAACAAGGGCTCTGGTGAAAATCCAAGGAGCGTCTGCATCGGCAACCGGCGGCTTCTGGTCGTTCCTGTCTCTGCGTCTGTGGGAACCCCGCGGCAAGCAAGAACGTTATCCGAGTAGGCCTGGGTACCCTACTTCTGTAATTTATCCCAAGAATCTTCTTCTCACAACAGGAAGACGCCGGCTCAATCCGCCCAGGGTGAATGCCGCATCAATACAGTACAGTACAGTAAACTTAAGCTGTGATGAAGGTTAGATTCCAGAAGTCTTTAATAGATAATACCAATGGCTATCCCCCAGACAGTCACCATAATATTTTGTTTCGACTAATGTGTTTTGGAAATTTTGGGGGCCCTAGCCGTGGTGAAACCATTTAGTTGATTTTTGCGAACCCTTTCCAATCACAGGTGAATATTCGATTAAAAAATGGATCATTCGAATTTCGCAGATGCAGAATCTGACTCAATTCAAGACGTCAAAATCTGTGACTTTCACTGAGTTAATGTGGAAAACATTTAGCGAATTTCTTTATCATTTCAATCTATCTGCAAACATTTTTTCCCCGATACATTAACGTGAGATTTTTTTTTCGAATAGTGTTTTCAGATGTTGATTATCAATTGCAGATGGACGTCTTCAAGCGCCTTGATATTCAAGACTCGTATCCCCTCTATGGAACTTCAGAAAGCAGCGCCGCAGTGGCTAATTACAAGTGGATCTTTTGCACTGTGCACTAATAATGTAGGTAGCAGTTTGCGGAGCTTGAATTGATGCAAATAAAAGAACTAAACGCATCTCTTCTTATTACATGTTCAAGACGAAGGAGCGTAAAGTGTTTAAAGTTAAATTATGAAAAAAAATAATATAAAATTAACAAAGAGTGCACTTTAATAATTAGGAATGGGTAATATAGTTTTGTGCAAATTTATAATAGGAAGATG